CTTCATTTCAGCTACCTATTAATTCTGCAGTACTATTGAAAAAGCAGTCAAGTTTCTCCATAATGACTTGGTAATTTTTAGGTCTTGCTGACTCATGCTCATCTTCCTGTGATTCTCTGGAGAAATTTTATTATCATCCATATAGCACCATAAATTTGCAAAAAAATTGCACAAAAATTGGAATACATTGAATTCTTCTCCCTGAAGGTGTTGCATTCTTAAAGACTCATTAAAGCATCCACAGAAACATCTGTGTCCTTTGCTGTCCTGGACACAAGACCAAGTACCCCTTGTAGAAGCAGCAGTGGCAAAGCAACCCCAGGGGAGGCAGCCTTTCCCTCTGCCCTTTTTCTAACTTTATGCAGCTTTCCATGGTCTCCCTGCCCCTCTCTGACCTTATATCAAGTAGATGCAGTCTTGGTGCCCCTTAATGTCAAACTGAGCCTCTTGCGCATTGAGCAGGATGACATAAAATTTTCACCCAAAGACTGGGAATTTATATACTGTTTGAGACAGGCTTCTCAATCCTCTGCTTTGTAATGTTAACATGTTTTGGAGTTCTCTGTGGCTGTGGGTGCACAGGTATTCCAGCCACTCTGCAACTGTTTGGAAGTAAGATATGTTTTTAATAGAAAAAAATGCAAAATATCAGCTAGAATGTCTGGATGTAGGTGGTATTTCACTGATATTTCACTGCAGACAGGGATGAGTTGTGCTGGATCACAGAATGATCTTAAATCAGTTCATATGGTGATCTTACCCAGTATCTTATCCCTATATTGATGATAAGCTTATGTTTTAGAGTAGAAATGTTAGAATATTCCTGATATGTAGTTCAGTATTTGGATTTGCTTGCAAGTAAAGGATTTGATACCTTTTCTTTTTCTGAATTCTCTTTTATTATGGATTACACAAATACGAAAGAGTTTCTAACTACTACTACTACTAATTCAAGCTGCGAGTCCTACTACTACCTTGTTGTGAATGGCAGAAAATTCTGTAGATTACTGCTATGCTTAATTTGAAAAGGAATTGTGGACTTAAATGTTTTAAGTAGATTTAAATTTGTTTTAGAATTTAAGTGAAACAACTTTTACTCCTTAGAACTGTAACAGAGAAGTGTCCAATTTACTCCATTTATTTCATGGCCCACTCCCTTATTTCATATTTGTCTCCTGTAAACATTCGTTTTCTTGTTTATGTTGTTTTATTATCAGATTCACTTAAAATTTGCTTTTAGCTGTATTGCTAGGCTCGCAACAGGAATGAGGCACCAATGTGTAAAATACACATACATGGTAGAAGGACATCATACTTGACATAAACTGTTGACTTCAAGGTTAAGAAACAAGTTGTCATTGAAGTGAAATCTAACTTTAATCTAAAAGCATTTTTAGACTGTGAGTGCCATAGATTAATTTATTTAACTCCATGGATAGAACAGCTTTTATGTTCACAGGAAAATGTGCTCTGGTTGATATGGAGGTTGTCTGTCTTGTGGTGTGAGAACTGCCTGCCTTGCACTCTTTTCACTTTCCTGTTTCTTAGAAGTTTTTTGGATTTCAAGTAAGGGGTTCCCAAATTTACTTTCTTTGAATTGTGTAACCTTAGCTCCAACAAAGTCACCCAAAGTTTTTGGGTTTTGGTAAAATAGAAGATGTATGCTCTGGATAAACTGTAACCATTTCAAACATTAATATGCATCTGCTGAGAATTATCTTTTTTATTTCTTATGTGAATAATATTTTTCTTGAAAAGTAGACCATGTTTAGGATGGTGTCATACTTAAAATTGTGTTAGATAGCAGTGACATGCATTATTTGGACAGTAACTACTGCATTGTAAACTAAAATAGTGTAGATAATCACGTTCAATACTGTGATAGGCACACTGAGCACTTTATTTGCTAATGTCTGTTTTCAACTGTACTAGGAGTTTGGGTTAATTTGCATCTCCATTTGGTTGGGCCTGTGACAGACATTTGTTTTGCTTGTGTTTTGAGTAAGTGTCTTTGTTTCATCCTGCATTTCTTGTGGAGGGTGAAAACAATGTAAAAATTGTTCTTTTCTCTCTCCAAACCCTTCCTCACAGTTCTAGTTGAAAATGCAGTAAATATTGACTAAAATTGGAGGCATGTTTTGAGTCAGAATTTTCCAACAAATTACCTTTTTGTCTGAATTCTACATTTGTTTCCTCTGGATAGCTTTTAGCTTCTGCTGTATGGCTAGAACTAGAGGATTCCAGCAACAGGGCTGTTTCAGAAGGAAAAGTTAGGAAGCTTTAAATTGAAAATCTTTCATAAAGTAGCTGATTTCAAAGCTTGAACTCACATAACCAGGTAACTTGAGAATCAAAAAATCTCACCCAGACTGCCATTAAATACATGTTTCAGAGACCATTGATTTTTTTTTAAGCACATCTTGCAAGTGCTGATTCTGCAAGCAGTTGTTTCTCGTAATCAGATATAAAAGCTCTTTATCTCCTATCAGCTGATGGCTCTGCTATAACCTTTGGCTCCAGACTTCTGGTAGGAAATTTGTACATATTTCTACAAAGAATGAAACTCTAATGGCCTTAACAGGAGTACTCATGGTTTGTAACCGTGCTGGAAATTAGCTTTTCAGGCACTGATCTTGACAGGTCAGCTGTCACAAATTGATATGCATATCTGTAAATACATCACTCCTATAAACAACATTCTGTCTGCAAGAAGGGGAAGATAAAATTGGCACAGTTCTTAACAAATGAAGTGTTCCAAAGCACAAGGAAACACAGGGAAAATCCCTTCTGGAAATGATTTTCCATATGTTCCATTTATGATTTTTATCTCTACAGTTTGCTTTTAAGAGGCTGAAAAGTTTGTACTCTGGAGTACTGTTCTGAAACAAAATATGCTCTTTCTCCTTGCACTTACCCCTGCTGCATAGGATAAGGATCTTTGTCTTCTTCTTTGGGGGAAAAAAAAACAAAAAACCAAAAAAAACATGGGTTTACATTGTCTTATCTCCAGTATTCTTTGGAACTCTTCGAGGTAGTGCAGAATATGAAACAGAGTATTTGAGAAGTCTAGGGCCCTTTTATGAAATCAGATTTTGAAAGGTGCATATGTAGGAGAAAAAATTGATGTGTCAGTCCACCAGTGATGAAGTTATAACTTGAATGAGTTACATTTCCCATATTTAATGAATATTAAATCATCACCTGTAGATTTTTCAAGACGTTTTGTCAAAAATCTTGATCATATGCCAAGGACAAACGAAGGAGATTTAAACAGTAAGCTTTCTTTACAGATTTGAGACACAATAGATGCTATACACACCTACACTCATCTTTGAAGTCTGTTGAACCATGTTGATTTATGTCAAAGGAAAGATATGTCCATTTGGTTTGGCAGTAGCAAGGGCTGAGGAACATCTGGAAATATTTCAGAGCAAGCATCTAAATTCAAATTCAAAAGATACCATGGCTATAGTTATTCATCTGCCTGTGTTACTGTAGACACTTGATGTGCGGACACTCCTCTGTCACTCCAAACTGTCATCACAGGAGGAGAGTGTTCAATCTGAGATGTTTTAGCTTCCAGGAGTGTCATTAGAAAGCTGAAAATTATTCATACATTCTCCTCCTCCATCGTCCAGGTCATCTGGATAAAAGGAGGTTTACCTTAAGTCTTTCCTCTCCTGCATCTCAGCTTTCCTGATATAGTGACTGGAATAATTTTCATCAGTTGTGATAGCTGCTGAATATTCACTGAATGTCTTGTTCTTTTCTAGTTCCCTGTTTATCAGTTTAATGCAACAAACCAGAAATAAAACTATACAGATCTCTTCCATCACATTTTATTTGTTGATTTGATTTGTGAGGCTTTAGGATAAAACTGAAGTCATAGAAATAAATCATGTAAGACATCTAGCCATAGGCATTTTCAGTGAAATAAGTTCTTTCCAAGAAGATTTTGACTTGTTACATGAAAATTAGCTTCTGGCAGGAAGAATCCATATTTCACAGATCTTGGACTGTGTTTAATTTCTACAGGGCATGCCTTCAGCTAACATCACTGCTTCCAAATATGTGAGCATAGTATTGGTGTTTAAGACTACAGCTAGAAAAAAAAAAGAAAACAGTTTCTACTTGATACTATTTATGTCTCTTTTGAACAAAATGACACTGTGGATTCTGTTTGAAGGCAAAAGGAGTCTGACTGCTGCTGCTGCTCAGGAGCATATTTAGTTTGAATAATCCAAAGGTCACTAAAAATTGACTTTTCTATTGAATCTGTTCTATTGAATTGGACTGTATTTCTCTTCAGAAAATGCATTACAATTAATTTTTAAAATGATACATTAAATTGAAAAATAAAATATTTAGATGTAATGTTTCAGGGAGATATCCTGAAAACATGCATGTGGTTCATCTGGTAGATATGAGATACTTGTTCACCAGGAGCCTGGGAGCTCCAGAGGCTGTAATTGTTTTAGAGATCAGGTAGAAGTAGGACCAGAACAGAGAAAACAGGACTTGAGACAGGAGCTGAAGAAAATGTGAGTTGAAACAGTTTGACACCATAGAACCAGTGTCAAGAATTTATGACTGTAGGTGAGCTAAAACACTGTGGAAAAAAAGGTTGGTCTTTGATAAACATAGGGTATTTGAAAATAAGGATCTGAACAGAGAGGGAAATCTGGGATTGTGCAACCACAGGTAATCCTGAGAATCCTCAGACAATATAAACTTACTGAGGAGAAATGTAATGTCAGAGTGAACTAAATGAAATGATATGATAAATACTGCAGATAATAGAGCATTTATATTGCACCCATCAATGAACATACGTGTTGATGTCTGTCCTCTGAATCACAGTCATTCTGATTGAGAAAGGCACACACCTCTCAGCCTCCCTCTATCATTTGTGGATTTGGTCAAGCTGCTGTTGAACAGTTTGTAAATGCTGAAGGATGCCTGCCTGGCAGGGATCAGACTCTTGGTGCTTTCTGTTCCAGCTGGCGACGTGGGACTCTGAGAAAGGCCTGAACGGCAGCCTCCAAGAGCGGCGTCTGGGCAACGACCTGCAGGGAGTGACACTCAAAGTGGTGACTGTCTTGGTATGATCCTTTCTGAGCTCAGCAAACAAAATGCTTAAAATAAAAAGGATCTGACTAAATATTTTGGGCACTTCCCGCAGTGTGTTTTCCCCTATCATTTTCAGTTCTGTATTTCTGGATGATCTGTTACATAACAAGGAAGATAGATGATGGTCCTTTATTATTTTATGTGAAGCTGTGCACTGTCAGTGATACAGAGCATTTGTTTGTTTTCTTATGCTGTTTTTCTGCATTGTAATTCCTGCCAGGCATGGAACCAGCATAGGGCCTGAGTGCACAGTGGTACATTCCAGATACCATCCTTGAGCTTGGATAAGCAGTTTTCAACATTTCATGGATTTTTAGATCAGATGGGCCAATTATGATAATCTAATCTTGGCTCTTGTACGCTGCAGGCTGTAAAATTTAATCAAGTGTTTCCTGCATCAAGCTCATAAATTCCCATTGAGATAAACTATATCTTTTAGAAAGGTGTCATCTTTCCAAAAAAATCATTATGCTTTTGGGACTACTGTCTGTTAAACTCTGGAGTGGTAAAGAGCTCCTGTCGGCCAAGTGCTACACTAGGGGCAAATTAGGGCTTGAATGCATTCCTGGCGAAGATATTGTAGTCTACAGCTTGCAGAATATGATGACTTTTTTTGTTGTTTTCAGTTTGCTTTTTCTGAAATGTGGTAGAAATAGGCAGTACCTCAGAGTACATATGTACATGAAGGCACTCCCTGCAGCCCCCGATTTGCTTTCCTCAATTTGTGCTGTAGTTGGTGTGAGAGGTGAGCAGATCCCTTCTGTGACAGTACCAGGCTACCAAGGCAGCCAACTGCAGTGGCTGTGCCAACAAAATCCCTGAGATCTGCAGGAGAGCAGGACACCCATCCCCAGCAGAAACCCTACTACAAAATGCTGCATTTCCTTGGTCCCCAAACAGACTTCTTAAATTAAAATACTCCAGAAACCAGTACCCATGAAGGTTATTCTTTGAGTTCTCAAAATGTTAAACGTTCAGAAAATTGCAGTGGTTTTAGTTTGTGTTTTATTTTGTGTCCTGGATAAAAGATGAGGCCTTGTATATTAAGGATGGCTTTCTGAATCTGGGGTTGAATTTATTCTGGAGTCTCTGCTTCTTCTCATGAACTATGGAGAAACCAAGGCTATGGATAGGACTCAAGTGCTGAGGCAGTGGTGTCTGGTTGGGAAGCTTCACAGTATCCCAATTTTTGCTTCAGAAAGTTATGGGTGTCTCAAAATCTGTGCCAAATTGTCCACAATTAACTCAGAAAACACCCTTTCATTCAGAGAAGTAAACTAAAAATCTTGTTGCAAGTGTCAGTTAAGATGCTGTTTTGTTCTCAGGAAGAACCTTTTGTGATGGTGGCAGAGAACATCCTTGGGCAGCCAAAACGATATAAAGGATTTTCCATCGATGTCCTGGATGCCCTGGCCAAGAATCTGGGCTTCAAGTATGAGATATATCAAGCTCCTGATGGCAAGTATGGACACCAGCTCCAAAACAGCTCCTGGAATGGAATGATTGGAGAACTCATTAACAAGGTACACAGAGAAGAAACTGTATTTAAAAAAATTACAGGAGAATTAATTAGGATGAAGGCAGCAGTGCAGAATGCTTCTGAGCTATGGATGGTTTGAGTGTGACATAAACTACAATTTAAGACTCTGTATGCAGGATAGGAAGTAGAGAGTCTCTAGTTTTATTTGCTTCCAGCTGCTCTCAACATAAATTCTATTGGTGTAAATCTGTGTGTTTACATTACTATAAGAATAGAGGTCATGTTTGTGTGTGTGAGGGAATGACTATAGAAAATAGAGGAAAAAGTAAGGTATTCTCATTAAAATATTAACTAGTGTTTTATTTTTTGGCATTTTGTCTTTGAAAGTTGTTTGTAGATGAGACTTTCTGTCATTTTGGGATGATATGTTTAATGAAGACCAATGAGTAATGACAGTGAGTTTGACTCCCAAACAGGAAAAGTAGCCCCAGTATAGGGGATCAGAATTTAAACTGGTCTCAAGAGTATTCAGTCATTTAAAACTGACAGGACCAAATTTCTTAATTATAGTATTGCAAATCTAGGAGTAAGTTAATTGAAATCTATTTTAGTAAATGGGTAGAGTTTGTAGGTTGGAATCTCCTAGAGAATGAAAGGAGTGTATTTTGTTCATGTTCTTGCAATCTCGTGTGGGACAAGCATTAATCAAGAAGAAGAACTAAAGGAATTAATATTCCATGTTGCTGCTTTTTGTAGAAAAGGTTACTCTTCTTCAGTGGAGGTTACTACTGAAAGTGAAAGCTTTCTCATTATCTTGTAAATAGGTGGCTCAGTATCTGTAAGGAGATGTTTAGGAAGAAATAGAAGCAATTAAAGCTATTGCAAACATGTGTGTGATAATGGGATGTTCTTGGTTGGTGCTAGGGAGCATAAAGAATTTTCAGCTTATTTTGCATTGACATAAACTGTTTGAATTTAATGGATTTAAAAATAAGGTAAGAACTCCTGTTAAATTTCTTTGGAAATTGCTTTCTTTGAAGCAATAAAATATCTATTATGCTATTTTTAAATGGTATTTCTGCTACCATTTGTTCCACAGACTCCAAAGAGTTTCAAAGCAAACTTCCCTCGTCTAATATTTGCTTTACATTCCCGACACAATTAGAGATAGAAAACTGAATGTATATTGTTTGGTTTTTTTTTTTTTTTTGAAGAGGCCTCTTTTTATTAAGACAGAAATATTGAAAATCTAATTGAAGCTCTTCAGAAGCTTTGGGAATCTTATTTATTAACTCCTATCTTACCCTTTATCAAGCATGCATACTCTTTAAGGATTACCTGCAAGCAAAACCAGCTTGTTTTAAATATTGAAGCCAAAGCAGTTTCAGGAGCAAAGTTGCCTTTGTGCATTTTTCCTGTTATGAGCTTTTTCCATCACTTTTTTCATTTTAAAAAACAAACAAAATCTTCTCCCCAGTTGTCCTATGAAATCTCTTCATGAATATGGAAAGTTGGCAATTCTACAGGGAGAAAAACAAACATTAGCTCTTCCTACCCTGCTAACAAATACACAAGCTAAATAAATGGTGTTTCTTTCTTTATTGCTTACATTGCTCTGGGTTAGTATGGTTTGGAGTTTTAGGCCTTCTTTGGGAAACAAATGAGGGATAAAGGTTAAATAAGCTACCCTTCCTCCAGAGAGGAGTCAGGATCATGCTTCTCATTCAAGAGAACTTTGACAGGTTATGTTTCATTACTTTTCTTTGGGCCAGTGCAATTAACTAATGTTTAAAGGGTGAAAATGATTCTGGTTTTATTTTTAGAGAATTTATATGAGTGCATCTAAATGTTTTAAGTTATAGAAGGAGGAGCATGGAGTCACTTGGCTCTTAGAAAGTTTCTCCTTCAGGCTCCTGCTGACCAAACTCCAGGTGGCAGGGAGCGATGTGACATGCTGCGTTTGTCTTGCAGAGAGCAGACCTGGCCATCTCAGCCATCACCATAACGCCCGAGCGGGAGAGCGTGGTGGACTTCAGCAAGCGCTACATGGACTATTCCGTGGGCATCTTAATCAAGAAGCCCGAGGAGAAGATCAACATCTTCTCCCTCTTCGCTCCTTTCGACTTCGCGGTGTGGGCCTGCATTGCGGCGGCCATCCCCATCGTGGGCGTGCTGATCTTCGTGCTGAACCGCATCCAGGCGGTGCGGGCGCAGGGCGCGGCGCAGCCCAGCCCCTCCGTGTCCTCCACCCTGCACAGCGCCATCTGGGTCGTGTACGGAGCCTTCGTGCAGCAAGGTACTCACAGCAGCCACGGGCAGCTCAGCCCTGCCCACAGTGCGCTAAAGGTGCAGCAGAATGGGCAGGTATTGTGTTTTATTAGCCCGGATGAGCAAAAGAGGGAAAGGTAGGCAAGTTTGGGGCTTTATGTCTTTTTTTGTGCCTTTTCTGTCTCTCAGTAAGTCCAGAAAAACCACTAACAGGGTTTTCCTCTTTGGGAAAATTGTTACACTGGAAGTAAACTACAGAACTGCTCGGTGCAGAATTGCAGCACTTCTTCAGCCCTGAAACTAGCACCTTTTTAATTGTTTAATGTATAAATAGAAATGTGTCAGCTTGTGCAACCTACTGTATCCACTGGAGCAGTGAAGTGCATTTTGATGAAAAAAGGGCATTTTGATGAAAAAATGTATGACTTAAAAATACATTTTATTTTGACTTTGAAATACATTTTGTATGACTTAGAAATACATTTTTGTTCAAAAACATATGTTTTTGAACTCACGTGAGATAGTTCGTCTCTTGGTTCATTGAACTGAGTGTGTAACTAACTTTACACTCAGGAATGTCTAGGCATAGCACAAATCCTACTGAATTCAGTAGGACTGCTGCCATTAAAAAAGTCATTTCGTAACTAATTATTTACAAAATCTGCCCACACAGTTTTTATGCCATATCTGGAATGTTAGTTGTATTCTTGGAAGGCAGGTGTTATTGAATGCTGAAATATGGGTAAAGTTAACTATTTTCCTATATTTTTTCATTGTGATTGCAAGCTTCTAAAGCTTCAGCTGGAAAATCCATCCTATTGCTATGAAACTTGGTCCCTCATCTCACTAAGGTGGCAGCCTTGATGGGTTTAAGTGCAGTAAAATATAATCAGCACAAACATATGCTGAAGTAAGTAGAACCAGCTCTATGGTGAGGTTTAGTCTCCAATGATACTCAAGCATAACTGTGCTTGAAGACTGCTGGAAAGAAATCTTATGATTTGAAATCTTGTAAAGGGTAACAAGTAATGACACTAATGCTTCAGTCTTTGCAGATTTAAATAAGGCAAAGATAGCACACAAACCATTAGGAAGTTCTGTGGGGCTTTTGTTCCATTTCTGAAAGGGTAATTGAAAACAGAATATTACTGTAATCTGAACACTGTAATGATTTAATTCCTGCATATTAGTTGTGCTTCACCATTCAACTTTATTTAGAACATTTTTCTTGTTCTTTAGATTTGATCCTCAATAATTCTCAAGGGAAATATTTTGAAAGATGATTTTCTAGAAGACTGTCTCGGGCAAGAGGTAGACTGGAAAAAATACTTGTGAATTATCAGTCTTAACAGAAGCAGTGCTTTTCCCACAGTGAAAGGGCAGACTGGAGGGGAAGCAGAGAGGAACTCAAGAAAGTTCAACATACATGGGCGCACAGAGGGTGATTGCAAATGGAAGCTGCTGAGAGACCCTCATTTCTCTGTTTATTTGTAGGGGGTGAATCCACTGTCAATTCTGTGGCGATGCGCATTGTCATGGGAAGCTGGTGGCTCTTCACCCTTATTGTGTGCTCTTCCTACACAGCAAATTTAGCAGCATTTCTCACAGTATCAAGGATGGATAATCCCATAAGGTAAGAGCCTCTTCTTAACACGAAGCTGGAAACCTGAATTTCACAGGAAGGTATTATCCATTTCAGTGTTCATTCTTGCAAGAAGGAGATAACTCTCTAATAAAATACTCTGCTTATTTGCAGTGGCTGTTTTTCTCTCCTCTCCCCCTCTTCACCTTCACTCCAACAGCCCTCAAGCAGGGAGAGGACAATGGCACTTTAGTTCTGTATTTTTCCAGAAGAGAGGTCTCTCATGTCCTGCTGGTTGTTCGGTTGCAATTTGTGTATGTGTGTGTGTGTGTAACTTGGGGTTTTTTCTGCAAATTTAAAGGTCAAAGCTTTTCAATTTTTTTCTCACAAAATGTGGACAGAATTTCCACCCTCACGCTGGTGTGAAGTACTGGGAGGGCCATTAAAATTTCACACTCAGTGCTGACAAGGTTAGAGCCTGATATCTCGTGTTTGATGCGGTAGTGATGGAGTGGAGCAGTAGCAGTGCAGCACAGGCTCTTCTAAAAAGTGCTGAGCCAAGGTTTTCAGGTGTTAGAGGGTGACACAGTTAAGCTGCTACTCTTATTTGGGATTGCATTGGGAAGACAGACACTGAATGTTTGTGTTCTCTTCCTGAAACAGAAGAATTGTCACTGAGGTGAGGCTGGCACTTGTGATTTCTGCACAGAAGAAACTAAGTCCATTTCTTCTAAACATGAGTTCAATAGAATTTCCAATTTTTAGCTTGCCAATGTTCATTTGCAGATAATGTAATGCTTTGTGTGGATATATCATCAACATCATCATCACCTTAACAGGCTTTGGTTTTAGATTCACTTTCTGTTAGTTTGGCCATAATAAATGCGTCTTAACAGTAACACAAATAAGTACTCCAAGTAATTTCTGGAAATACCGTGAGAAACTATGTCGAATAAAACTATCCATGTATGATGACTGGATGTACTGGAAAGAAGGTTAAGCTCAGTGAATAAATTGCTCTTGAAAAGCAAGACACAAATAGCTATCCAGAAAGCTTGACTAATGATACTCTTAAAAATGTCTGAAGGTTCTATTTCTTTAGCTGCAGAAGAAATTTTCTGTTTGGTCTAATCAGTACTTTCCAAAACTCAGCAAAGTTCAGAGGAGGACAAAAGTTGCAGTGTAATTACATGAGGAATCTCTGCAAAAAAAGGTTTAAGAGCAGAACTATGGATTTTTAGAGGAGGCCTTTGAGTATGAGCTGTTACAACATTTACAAGGGATTTTAAATCCCCTTCTTATTAAAATGAAAGAACATTGCTAAGAACCTTGAGGAGATAAGTTTTTTGGGTAAAGGACCTGCTCAGAATTGTTTCACAAGTATTGAACTCAGGCACCCTTCTACTGCTGGAGATAGAAGCTGGAGAATAGTAATTAAATGCCTTTCTATGCCTAATGGTAGCTGCCAGGTCCCTTTACCACATCCCTTAATACAAGTTGAGGATGTAGAAGTAAGAAAACATCAGCAGTGTATTTCAGGTGCCAGAACGTAAATGTCAAAAGAAATTTAAATTGCCAGAAGCTTCACTGCTGGTGTTCCACCTACTTGGCTGTAGGGGCAGGGATCTCTAGTGGGTGTTGTCAGCTCCCATGTGGATACTTCATATTGCCTGATGTTAAAAGTGGTCCTGGATGCTGTGGTTTAGTTTCCCAAATCATTCCTGAAGTGCCTTGGCCAGAGGAGGTGGGGTAAAGAAATAGTTTTTCTGGAAACTTCTGTTGAGCCTTCATCCATCTCTGAGCTATGATTTTCATGTCCCCACTCTTCAGGCAAAACAGCTTATAAAATAATTTGTCAGATTTAGAACAGTTTTTTTTTTTTTTCCTGAGAAAGTAAATTACTGCCTTTCATGAATTAATCGTGGCCTTGGGCCTCAGCTCCCCATTCTAGCTGGCTTCACATCATATGATGTGCAGTGAATGTTTTTGCCTAACTCTGCCACTCAGCTTGCCTGCATTCTGTCTTTCATGAAACCCAGAAAGGAATACTTATGTGAAATCAATTTTTCCCACCCAAAGAGCCACAATGAGCTAGAGCTGAATATTTGCTCACCAGCTGAGAACTACCAAATCTATCTGTGTACACTTCCATTGTTAAGAGAAAACAGCCCCCATTCTTTCAGTAAATGTCTGCTGTTATCTCTCCCTCCACCAGAGAAGTCCTCTGGTGTTCAGTGCTGCTGCCTCCAAATTGTCAGCAGGAGAGAAATAAGTATTATGATGCTGCAGTAGCTGCAGCATAGTTAAGATTTTCATTACAAGACTGATTTTCTTCCCAAGCCCTCTCTAAAATGCCTAATGGAAATTGTTTCAGTATCAAATTTGGCATGTGTGGTCTGTGACTAGTGAAATAGAAGTATGTTTGATTGAATAACTAGGTGTCAATCAACCCAGTGATCACTGCCTCCACAATTTCACTGCAAAACAAGTGTGTCATAGAAATCATAAACAATATTTATTAGAAGGGGCTTGGTGAGACGTTCACTGAAGCGAAGTTGAACTGTTGGAAGGCAGACTTTTAAAATTATTGTGTCAGATGAAAGCCTGCTGATAAGGGAATACTGTTTTTTTAGTTTTTATATCTGGCATCGTCAAGTCTCACAAGGCTATTCCACCCTGCTGTGAGTTTCAGAGGCTTCCTGTGGCTCATAGAAAGGTGAAATATCCAGTGTATATGGATATGGCAGAAAGCAGCTTTGATCTGCCACCTGTATTTGTTTCCTGACAGTTACTTTGTAAATCCCAAACAGGATTTTTTTTCCAGGTGTCTAGATCCCAAGTAAGAGACGTGCTTAACTTGGAAAGAAAAGCTATTCTTCTCCTTGGGTTTTCTCAGAATTTCAAGGGCTTCATCTCAAGTGTGCTAACAAGAAGAAGCACTGCCTTTCTGGTCTGGCGTGACAGCATGTGCTTCCTTGCTCCTCATGTGTCCTGTGTGCCCATCATTCATCCTGGTGTCACGTGCTGGTGGGGTGGGTCCAAATGTGGAGTTTGAGACCCACATGACAACCTCTATCCCCTCAGGCGCTCAAAGTTGACAGGAAATTTGGTGTACCTTCCTTGGCTGCTCTCAATTTTTCAGTTGCTAGTGGTTGGTGCTTCTGCATCCCATTGATCTTTTAAAGCTGCTTCTCAATCCCTTTGTCTAAATTGCCTCCTGCACTTCTCATCTTCTCTGTGCCCCACCTCCCAGCCAGGGAACAAAGGCAATGTCATGGTTATCTCAGGATTTCTGTGTGTATGGACATCCACAAGCAGGACACATCAAGCAGATTTCCTGACCCCTTAGGGGCAGAGGAGAGACATGTTACCTGGTTCAGTATGGAAAAGGGAAGGCAACTACTGGTGACAACTATTTTGGAGCTCAGGTTAGGAAAATATGATCCATGTTCTAACTTTGTAAATAATCAATTCTCAATTTTTGTTTTTAATAAGAAATCTAGGCAATGTTTAGAACCTGTGATAATCCTTGACAAACTTGTTTAAGTTGAAACCCAAATGATTTGCATTTACTCTTCTAATATTTGCCTACAGTACTGTGTGTAGCTGAGGAGTCTTCTAATGGGTCAGTCTACCAAGTAAGGCAGAATTATTACAGGCGAGTTTATTCTTTCTTTTGTCTTATTACATTTTCAAACAGCTCTTGGATCTGCTGTCTGACCTTCCATTTGTAATTATGAGTTTAATTAGCAGTGACTTACATTCCAGCTTCATTTCTTGTTAACAAGCAGACTACATGCAGTTCAATAGCTGCACAGATATTCTGAAACTCAGGTTTAGGAAAGCTTGTCTGACAAGAGGCTAAGAATCATGCAAAAAAAATAGGACATGAAAAAGGTACTCTATTTTCAAATGCAAAAGAGTTTAAATTTTTTATCAAATTGATCTTTAAATTTGTACATGCTATGGATGCCTTGAGAGGCATCCGTACTCTATGCATTCATCAACTGCATACAAATGCATAATTTTTCTGCTTTAAGATCTCAGCTATTGTTTCATGATTTCAGATTTACTTTTTTGTATTTTAATTCCCCTATATCTTGTGTTTTGATGACAGCTGAAGATTTAAAGCAGCTTATTTGGGGTGATAGGCCAGCACTTGGAAGAGTTGGGTGCAAATTCTTTTTCTACCACAATCTCTGTTTAATCTTGGCAAGCTTAGCTTCCTCTCTGTCTTGTCTCTCTTTCTGTATAACACAGTAGTAATATTTTCTTAAATGACATATTGTCAGTTTAGCTGTTATAAAGATGATGGCCATATTATAGTAGCACTGCAGGTATCAAAAAAAGATATATTTTCTGGGTTGCATACAAAGCAGAAACAATCTCAAAATATTTTATAATAAAATGAGAAAAATACTTGGAATATGCCAGCCAGAGGGAAATGAACAAACATTTCATCCACTGTAGTTAAATGGATTTGATAGGGTTGGTGGCAAGAACCTTACCAGAATCCCTCAGCATTCACAGCAATTTTGTCTTGAAATTCCTCATGTTTGAAAACAGCCTTTCTCTTGTTAATATCAGATGTGTCTTTTTAAATATTTCATTGGATTTTCTTTTGTTATGTTTAATTTGTACTGTGTGTTGCAATGTCTATGCAGCACCTCAGGCATGTTGGCAGGAGGCATGTAGGAATAAGCATGATAAAAAATAATTATTGTGATTATCATTAAAGGCCTGTGAGGAAAAGCTTCAATCATTAAATAACTAGATTAAGTCCTTCCATAAAAATAAAGGCTAAGAAAGAATATAAGAAAGATGCAAGAACTCAAAACTTTTTTTCCTTTCCAGAACATTCCCTCTCTGGAGCACAGGGGTGAAATTTGCTGGGAAAAGCTCTGAGCAGCAGGGCTGCAGTGCTCAGGGGCAGAGCGTGCCAGCATTTGCCTTCAGGCTCTGTTTAGGACAAGGCTCTGGGCTGCTGCCAGTGCTCCAGCTCCCATTGTTTGTCTTTTCATTTCACTCCTATTGATGCTGCTGCCCAGTGG